CCCGCCCCCACGTCCCCCGCGGTCATCTTTCTATCTCTTTCCAATCATATTTCTGTCCTTTTCTCTCTCTCTGTCTGTCTCTTTCGCGCTCATGAAAATGGGCTATAACCGGCCTTACTAGACGTGCAACGGAATCGACGAGATCGCCCGGGAGATGACGCTCGGCTCGATCGAGGTTTCTCCCGGCGCGACTCGACCTTGGCGTGACTCGACCTTGACGCGACTTGTTCCTCAGGGGGGGGGGGGGACGGCGATCCGCTATCGCGATTCTTTAGGAACGCGCGTCGCTTCTAGCGCGCGATCCGCTCGCGGACGCCGGGTATCCGACGTCGAGAGAGACGGAGGATCGTCGGAGGGCGGTCGAACGGAGAGAGGAACGGTTAACGCCGATACGAGCGCGCTTATCGCTCGAGCCAGACGGCGAATCGTCGAAAGGTCGTGAAATAAAGAGAGATCGTTTTTTCGCGCGAGCGGAGGAGCGTTTTTATTGTTTCCTTTTACAACATTTTTAATATATTAATAATACAATATTTGATATATATTAATAATGCAATAATACGAGTACGCGGAGAAGCGTATCACGATTCCCCGAAGAGCAGAGCCTGCAGCTCGCAATCAATGAGATCGTTGCGGTCGAAGTTCTCGTTATCGCCGAATCGTGAGCGCCTGCCGCGATATCGAGAAAACGAGTCAGCTTATTATCCACGTGTGCGGTTAAACCGCTTAAAGATGTAACGATGCGGTTGACGCAAAGTTCTAGGTTTAATATAGTTAGAACGGTGCTCTTCGATACGGCCAGACGAACCTTGGGCGTTTCGAGACGGAATATTCGGAGATTGTTGAGTTTGCCGAATCGCAGCGTTAACTGTTCGATGTATATCGGCGCCAGAGGACGCGTCTCATCGCGCTTGTCGGAGCTGAAATACGATAGAAGTGTGGATCGTAGATCGAGCAGTTCCTTCCACATATCCGGCGTTAGCGAGATCTCCTTGCCGTGGCAATCTCCAAGGACGATCTCCACAAAAGAGGGTCGACTAACGTTAACGCTGACTTCGAGATGTTTGTATGCGGTTTTGGTTAATGGATAGCGTCTTCCTAAGATTCTGAGCGGTCGCGCGATCGAGACATCCGCGTCGCGTCTAGGCATCCGGTCGCGATCTCGTCTGAAAATGGATGCGGGAGATAAGACAAACGACGCTAGTGGATTATTAGTTCGAATAAATGTTTAATAGTCTTACCCATTGTCCTGTTTAGCTCTTTTAGCGTATCCCGCGCTATCCTCGCGGTCTCGCTCGGTTAGTCTCAATCGATCGTCAAACGAGTGCTGCTGTTGCGGTAGCCCCCCCATTGTCGCGTACATTATCGCTCGTTTTTTCTCGTTCGTAGGTTTCGGCGTTCTCCGTCGACAATGAAGCGCTTAACTGATGGATCGTCTTTATATACTCGCGTAGAGATCGCTTCTTCCCCTTTAGTTACGATATTCGTGAATTCGTTGAAGGCATAGAACTGACGTTTGGCGAAAAAATACAGATTGCAGTCGATATCGAAAGGCCGACGTTATCGCGGGCGGTATTCCAGGAAATATATCTTTTAACGGAGCGTGTCTAATGACTATCATGCGACACTCGTCGATCTCCGCTACCTTGTCGTCGTCATAGATCGCGTAGGTTCATCCCGTGTGCGTGTTTATCGCAGCGTTATTCTTAACGTTTCGGAGAAGTCCGATATCGTGGAGATATCTCGGCCAACCCGATTTTAGCTTAAGGCTGGGATATTCCGCGAGGTAGATCGAATCGTCCGCGAATAGCGTGAGATCGCCCGAGGGTTTTCGATACGCGGCAGATAGGCGCGTGAAATTCGCCGGGAGAAACGCCGCGTAATCCGTGAGCGTCATGGGCCTACCGTAGCGTCTCTCGGTTACATCGATCGACCACACATTGCGACGATTAGCTATGTACAATCGATGATTGTATTCATTATCAGCGTGATTCATTATCAGCGCGGCGTCCACGCGCCGCAAAGCGCAGAGATCCGCGCATGCGGGGTCGATTGGCGCGACGCTCGTCGTAGCGGGCGCCGCGGTGGTCGCGGGAGTCGCCGTCGGATAGTTTCCGTCGTCGTGAGACCCGTACAGATTCTGTATAGCGAGAATATTCTCTATGCTCAGCTTAACCGGAAATTGATTCTCGATGTCGGGTATATACGGGAACATTATCGAGTCGTTGCGCCTGCTGTGTTGCAGACCCAAAGCGTGGCCGATCTCGTGCGTTAGCGTTTGCAACAAATGGTGCGTGTTGGGAGGATTTTTATTTAGATACACGTGCCACGGTTCCGAATCGTCAACGTGTACCTCCGACGCGAAATCGGTCATTCCCGAGGGAAAGAACGCGTGAGCTAGGGCTCCCCCGGAACCGTCGAAGGTCGCCGGGCAAACGCCGATGTTCCGGCGATTCGCGTAAGTGTGCGCGCCCGTTCGATACGATATCAATATATCGGGTTGCAGCGGGTCACGCGCGAAGGTTAGCGACGAATTCACCGCCCATAACGCGAACGCCGCTTCGGCCGTTCGCGAGAGTTCCTCGCTAGCTACCTGGAAGTTCCACGTGAGACGCGTTTTCGGCCATTTTCGCGAGATCGGGCTATACGCGCGATCGGGAATGTCCGCGAGACCGCATCGCGATTTGCGCATAAGGCTAAGCGTAACGGCGTCTAACGTGCCGTTTCCCGATAATTGATAGTATTCCTGAAACAGCGACAACGCGCGACGCAGAGATGTCGCGTTATCGGACGACAGCGATTCTCCGTCGTTCTTTAGAAAACCGTACGCGCGCAGGAAGCGGAGCACCTCGGCCTTCTCCGAGTCGACGGGCGCGGCGGCAGTCGCGGCGACGAGCGTCGTCGCTAGGACGAGAAGAACCGTCCTCGCGTTAGTCATTGCACGGAGCGGGAAAAAACGCGGGAAACTATCGAGAGACGCCGGGCGCGATTGATTCGCGCGTTCGGCGAGACGCCTATTTTTGTCATCGGCGAATTCGACGCAGACGCTCGTACCGCGGCATCCGCGCGTCGATCCTTATAAACGCGAGATCGTTTCGAGAAGCGTCAAAGTATTTTCGCTCGCGAGATAGCGAAGTGACGAGGCCACGAAGCGCGAAATGGCGAAGAGCAAAGTGGCGAGGTGCGAAATAGCGAGAGTTAAAATGGGTCGCGAACTGCTCGATATGGAACGAATCGAGCAGATAATTAACGCGGCCGATTATATTAATGTAAACGGAGATTTAATCGCGATAAAGTCTTACGTTTTGGGAGATCTCGCCTCGGATCTGCGCGAGGAGGCGCGAGGTGTTATCGAGAACAGTCCGGATTCGTTCAGACTCACCTTTCAGTTGAATAGAGACATCGATATCGCGCGTTTAATGTAAGTATTCGATTGGAATTTTTTATAATACTTTTTATAATAAATTATAATCTTTTAATAACCATTTTACTTTTTTACTTTAGACAACAGATAGAGGACTGTATATGAACGGCGCGAGAATCGCTCTACGATTTAGTGACGAAGACGAGGACTATGCTCGCGCAGGCGCAAAGCGTTCACAGCGCGTTGCGCGACGCTCGCCGACGCGACGTCGCGCAAGCCCCTGAGCAATTCGAGTTTCGCGATCGCGACTTCGCCGTCCCTGAGTTGATCGACAGGCTTTGCGGACGCGAAGATAGGCGAGTCGTCGCGTCACCGATCGACGAGGAGCCCGAATCGCGGCCGATCGACGAGGAGCCTAAATCGCAGCCGATGGAGGACGAGGCCGAACCGTCGACGGTGAATGAGGATGAACCGCCGGCGAGTGTACGATCGGAGGGTTACGAGCCCGAATCGCAGCCGTTCTTCGAGCTGTAACTTTACACGCTAATAAAATTTGATTTTTGTTCGTACTTATATACTTCGTGTATCGCACGCGCGCATTTGTAAAATATGATTTTTTTACGAATAAATGCTATATATTAAACGAAGCGTCGATTCTTTTCGCATCTCTTTCCTTCTTCGATATCCTCTCGCTTTCGCGCTATCCTTCTTTCGCGCCTTTCGTAGTAAAATCTCGATCAGCCATTTTTTCTTCTCGTGACCTTTGACGTAGATCCTTATCGTCGAATCGGGGCTAGATTCTCGGCATACGGCGTCTCGAACGAGTCTTTCCATCGACCCGTAATTCACGTATCCGTCATTCCACTTTAGTTGATGATGGTTAGATGTCAACCAACATCTTAACACGGCTACTTCTTTCGCGACAAATCTCTCGTTAACTACGAAACCTTGAAGATCGACGAAGATTTGTGCGTCCATCGTCGTCGTTAGCGGTACTCGAAGTGTTCGCCTCTATTATTCTCTCTTCATATTTTTTCGAATATCATCGCGCTTACACGATTCTGCGCACAACGTTGGTGAGTGGATTGTACTCCACCACTCGATCGTGAATGATAAGACTGTGGTATTAGAGGGGATGTTTTCCTTGCAATCGAACTCTACGCGAACGTCCACGGTGCTCTTGATCGTCGACTCGTTCTGTCGAGAACAGTCGATGACTACGAGCGGGCCGTGGACTAAAAATTTATTCAGATTTAAGAGCGCTTCGTCATTGTCGCATCCGTAGTACGTTCTTCGAAATTTCGAGTACATATCGTACAGCACTGCGACTTTGCGCTTATCGAAATCCAGATTCATGTCGTCGTAAGGATAAAAATCGGAATTAAGATACAGTTTGACATTAGTCAGTTTGCAATCGTCGAATAGGGAAGGCTCCTCGGATAGAACGTTCTTCTTTCCGGACTGTAGCGCAAAGGTAACGTATCGCGGTTTCTCGAGTTGCGTCGCCGCTTTGACAGCCCACGAATGTTTAGTCGTGCTCTGTAGAAGCGGAAACTCGTAGAGATCCCACGAGCGAAAAGCGACGCTCAGGTATCGTCCGCTATCCAACGTGCGCAATAACCTTAATTTATTAATATCGTTTAACACTATATGAGGCATTCGCCACTGTATCTTTAACAAAACGATTTTAGGCTCTTGCGTTTCGCGCGATATGATACAATTGTTATCGTTACGCGCTCGTATCAGAATAAGTTCGTGTCGCGCGTTGATCACGACACGCTTGTAATCCTCGCAAAAACCTAATAACACGTTGAGAGGTACGCAAAAGTTGAAATCGTTGATCAACGAATGAGTTACCGCCGATAAGTTCCATCCGGCGTTCTTTAATATCTTGCCTTCTTCGACTGTCAGCGACGCGTAATTCTTAATCGTGCTCGGTATCCCAATGTTTCTGCTTCGATTGATCTCCACACCGTCGAGCTCGTAGCGAATCTTCTCGAACATAAACGCCGCGCAATTGTTCACCAGCCTCGTCACGGACGCGATTTCCTCTTGCGCACTTGGTGACTCCTTCGACTCGAGTCTACCTTCTATGTAAAGAAAACCATCGCACGGTAACGTATACAGATCTTGCTGTTGTATAGGAATTCGTATCTCGTCGCTATTCCCGAACGTAGTATTGGCGTAAGGATTGTACGATGAGTTTCGATCTTGACGATACGATCGTCGAAGATCGGCTCCCCGCCGATGCTTAGAATGTCGCACATTCCGCTTTTACGGAGAAACGGTTCTCGGTACGACGAAGCCCAAAAAGCGCAGGAAAGCCGCGTTGGCGACGGTTAACCTTCCTTCCTTTTTCTTTCTCTTTTTCGCGTCTAGGGGCGACACGACAGCGACGACGGGCGCGTTTCTCGCATTTGACCCGTTCACTACGAGCATCGCGCGCCTTTCTATCGTCTTCGCCGCACGTGCAGACGAACCGTGATCTCTTCGCCGCGAAAATCGATTAGTCTTCCGTT